AGCCACACACAGAAGCATGCAGGTTGTATATTGCTGTCATCTTGAAAGCAACTTTAAGATTCATTAAGAGAAATTACCATCTCAGTCATGCTTTCTTGGTTTTCACTTTGGTAAAATTTCAGCATGTATGTACTCTTGCTCATTGTGAATCAAATCCACCATACAAAACCTTAGAAAAACTTTCGACAAGTGTTATGGTAGAGATGTGGAGGACTAATAAGTGACAAAATAATATAATCAACTGCCCTTTGTCGAAATTTCTTCTGGATGTGGAAACTGTTTTGTCATATATAAAAATGTCTCTATGTTCACATTTTTCTTAATTCATAAAGATCTAAATACTAAATCATCATGCCACTATGAATAGTAATGGCTGATGAAATGTACCATACAAAATGGTGGTGCTGCATCTCACTACATATTGTAGAACGGTTCTTTTAACAGAACACCACCTCACATGAACCAAGAATGTTTGAAAAGAAAATTACTCAATTATACAAGTAGTACCTAAAGTTGAAACTTTCAGCTTCTCATGCTAACATGTCATCTATCAAGACAAATACAAGGCAGACATTCCCAAATAGATTGTGTTGTTTTTTGCCAGCTGAGAATGTACAAAGACGTCAAGACGGGAGGTGTTAAATCATCCCATGATGCTCTGCAGCAGCAACATGCACTGTCAATCCGGGAATTGTTTCCGAACGTTAGCCAAACCCAAAGTCAGGCCCGACCAGCCAATTACAATCATTGCAGCAATTACGTAGCACTTACTCCCTGCAATGGATCGTACTGGATCTTAATGCTGTAGATTAACTTCTCCCACTGAAATGGGATTCCGCCAAATCTGGTGTTATCCATTAATTCTGACGGCGACATGAACTACCATCAATTCCAGTCAAGGCTTGCCCATTCAATATTGCCTAGAATGAATGAAGGCAATGTTGTCCAAAAATATTCCATATTAATGAAACCAGGTGGTTATATAAATTCTGTCGGTTGATGGTTAATGAGACGCTTAATGTTGTTCTCGGGTTTACCATTGTTAAAGAATCGTTAGGGAGGATCACTATGCATAAAATTCACGAACTGATGTGAAAGTAAACATAGCCAGAAGTCCACGTGTTGACATTTGCACCTCGGCCTGTTACAAGGGTTAACCTCTTTCGTCATGCTGTCAGGCAACTTATAGCAGAAGTATTTCTTTTCAAATTAGCATTAACTATCCTTAGTGAATCTGCAATGAGCCAAAGTGATCTTCCTTAACTAAAGACTAAAAAATTCAATACTCCTCGCAGGAAAACTAGGTAATTTGAGTGAGCATGGGTTGACATAGTTTTTAGCAATACTTGTATTCCAGACTTGATGAGAGGGCTGGAGGGTTGGTTCTAATCTAGTAGAACCTGAGTCAGTGAGTGAACACTTCACCCACAGGACTATCTGATCACCCCTGAGTAGAGTTTAGATGACCCTATTCTCTGCCTTATTCAATAAACGTTTGTTTGTCATATACAGTAATGTAAATATGGCTTTATGTTGCAGTTAGTGAAATGATGGCACAATCAGGAAGGGGTACACCAGAAATTGGCTTCACACATTGTACCCATGTGGTGAATCGAACCCAGGTCTTTGGCGCGATGAGCAAACGGTATCCACCACTAGGCGTGTGTTCAGGTTCTTAATTAAACATAGATATACATTCTTATGATCAGGATGAATGATAAAATCACTGAATGGAGATCAATATTTTTTCATATTTTAATAAGCATACATTAAATTAGTAAAATTGGTTTGAAAGAATACAATCATTACTTTTGTTTAGTTTGAAATTTGATCATCAATAACTTCACATATTTTGGTGGTCACATAACACTGCGTCATCAGCTTTGCTTCCTGCCTTAAGGCATAACAATCACAACGATGTAACCAAATGGATGAAACTTCCCCTGGCACCAAAAGTCCTACTGATGTAATTTGTCACTTAGTCAACTTACTTCAACAACAACATTGTTGACATCAAGTCCTAATATTCCAGTAATGCAGCCGGGTGAAGATGATGTGAAACGGCTCCGATCGGCCATGAATATGTCAATGGTGAGTGCTGTTCAAATTGGATTGGAGAGGTCTGATTGGTCAATGAACACAGCTTAAATAGATTGTGCTTGTGGTGTGGCATGACCTGATCGGGTAATGGACACTATCGGAGTTCAATCAGCAGTGGATGAATCGAGGAGCTTGTTAAGGTTGCTCTATCAAATAGAAGGACTAATCATGTGATGCTGATAATACTGAAGGTTAAGAGCTACAGCTTCAGCCACTAGAACAGCTCACGATTACTTTATTGCTGTTTCTTGACCATCAGTCAAGCAATAACTATATAGTCTATCCACAAGTCAGACTGCAGGACTCAGACACTAAACACATGGCCAACAGAATACTACCAAAATAGCAGTGACATCTCCCTCTGGGAAATCAGATTAAGAGAATAAGAATAATGTTTGTTCAGATCTAATTCTGTATAAAATTACAAATTTCCACTCTTAGATGCCAGGACACCACAATTAGTAATTCGGTAATATAGCGAGTAGCAACTGCTATCATTAAACAGATGAGATGAGGGTAGAACAATTACCATACACCCTGGGCCTATAATAGAAGAATTACGGCATACTGTTCCTCATTACTGCTATGTGGATGTCAGGGTCAAACTACCCCATGCTTACTGTGAGTGGATCCAACTACAATGGTGAATGGGTGGTCTTGTGTCTTGTGTTCTGATGGTGTGGGATATTGCTCATGTTATCAGTCACTGGTTTGTTTCAAATAACTTCCATTATTCACATGCTGCCACATTACAGCCTGATCTATGTACATATATATCCCAACGTCATCGTCTTCAGAAAATCCAGAACAAACCTGCATGCATCATCACTTCCACCAGTCCTCGCTGTCACATCTCTCCCATTCTGAACTCTCTACACTGGCTCCGTATTCGTGAGAGGATTGACCTCAAGATTCTCTGCCTCACCTATCAGTATTTTTACAACTCAGGACCTTCCTACCTTCAAGACCGTCTGACACATTACTCTCCAGAAAGAACTCCACGCTCATCACAACAACTGTAACTCACGGTCCCAAGCTATAATCTAAAATCATTGGGCTCAAGAACCTTTCCATATGCAGCAGCTTCTTTGTGGAACTCTCTCCCAATCAAGTTAAAATCATCTCCTTGCCTAAGTACATTCAAAACACGACTCAAGACTCATCTATTTCTCTGCTACAAGTGACAAACAGAGCAACATGTTGAACATATCACCCAATGAGTGAGTGAGTGAGTGAGCTTAGTTTTACGCCGCTTTTAGCAATATTCCAGCAATATCATGATGGGGGACACCAGAAATGTGCTTCACACATTGTACCCATGTCGGGAAACGAACCTGGTCTTCGGCGTGACGAGCGAACGCTTTAACCACTAGGCTACACCACCGCTCCTATCACCCAATGAACTTCAACTCCTTGTTCTTATTAACATAGTCAACAATACCAAAGTGGGGTGATACCATGGTGGGGTAGCCTAGTGGTTAAAGTATTCGCTCGTCACAGTGGAGACCTGGGTCCAATCCCCCACAATGGGTGCAATGTGTGAAGCCCATTCCTGGTGCCCCCTGCCATGATATTGCTGGAAAAGTGGTGTAAAACTAAATTCACTCAATGATACCATGGAACAAAGTGCAAACTAAAAATTGTCATAATCAGTTTTCTCTCTCTGCAGATATTTAAACATTTTAAAATATTGCACACATTGTTAGAGTTTAAGATAATAAATGGCTTTTCATATTTTTAGACCTGAGCAAATGGAGATGTCAGCAAAAGTTTCAGTTCAGTCCATCAAAAAGTCCTAAGAAGGCAATATTGTATGCCTGACAAAGAGGCATGAGATATGCTCATATATTACCATTCATGTCAGATGAGATATATATTTTTAAATCCAATCATCTTCAACTCTTTCTGTGAGTCATCGGGGTTAAAAATCTTAAGTGCAAGATTGTGAAAAATATTGACTAGGAAGTTGTTGAAGTGAAAAGTTCCTTGAAATGAAGATGGCACCTGTCATTATGGATCGATCAGCCTCCTTCAGATGCAGCCCTTGCACGACATTGCTACTGACTGCCGGCAAACATATAACATGAAAGGAAATCACTTCATTACAGTTGTGTCAATACTGACTTATACATTGATGGTTTTGCCAGTAGTGGACTCGTTTCTGGGAATCTAGGCTTTCATTCTATGACATGGCCTCTTGTGCCATTTTTTCTAATGAAGGATTTATGCTTTATGCAAAACGCCTATAAAAGTAGCATCAAACTTTTGTTCACCAAAGTTGATTGGTTGGTTGGTTTGTTGTTTAAAGCTGCACTCAGCATTATTCCAGATATATGGTGGCGGTCTGTAAATAATTGAGTGTGGACCAGACGATCCAGTGATCAACACCACGAGCATTGATCTACGAATTGGGATACGATGACATGTGTCAACGGTCAAAGCTGACCACAACATCCAGTTAGTTGCCTCTTATGACAAGCATGGGTTACTGAAGATCAGTTCAAACCAGAATATGGGTCTGTCCACCAAGGAAATCCATGGATGCAACCTATATAGTTTGGACCCCATGCAGCAAATAAACACTGCGAGCATTGATATATGAAGTTGTAGCACGATGTGGATGTCATCCCACTGTTGGCATCCTTACCTTGTCAGCTTGTAGACAGTGTGGAGTTAACTTCTTTGGTCATGTGGACAAGGTGTCTGACTTCAGATCAGAAGGAACGTGGTTTGAATCTCAGCATGGAACTTTCATGGCTTGCTGACAGGGGGTTAAGGTGTCTGACTTTCAGAAGGTCATGGTGGAACAAGGTGTCTGACTTCAGATCAGAAGGAACATGGTTTGAATCCCAGCATGGAACTTTTCATGGCTGTCTGCTGACACATGGTTTGAATTGGAAATGGCCTCTTTGGTCATGTGGACAAGGTGTCTGACTTCAGATCAGAAGGAACATGGTTTGAATGACTTCCAGGAACATGGTTTGAATCCCAGCATGGAAACTGACAAGGTTAATGTCATGTGGACAAGGTGTCTGACTTCAGATCAGAAGGAACATGATGGTGAATCCCAGCCAATAAATCCATTTGTGCCCACATCTATTTGTGCAAACTATGTCTCAGTACCCTGCTATGTAGTCCATGTCATCTGTTGACTGGGGAATATGGAGCAGAGCATCACTGTCAAACAGTATCACATCCAAACAATGTCAAAGCATTACTTTCTCACTTATCATGACCCCGTTGTAAAGCTCCATGAATTTGTCAAAATTATTACACACTCTTACATTCAAAGGTATGAATTTATGAGGGTCTTGTCCTTAAATTAACTCTGTTCACTGTTTTCAGTATTCAGAAACTTGAAAGTTAGCAAATTCAAGATTTTACCTAAAAATCATCACATTTAATGATAGCATCATGCAGGGGTTTTCAGATATGATTTACCCATGAAATACATAGCATTGAGATGCATGTAACACCATAGCTGCACCAGTGATGTATTTACGTCTTTGGCTGCACAGCATGGACATCAATAGGAACATGACCTCACACACCATGGATTTTCATGTAATAAATAACATACAGGATCGAAATCAATAGAAATATCCCTTGTATAGCAAGGACATCCATGTTATATACACACAGCTACGGTTATAACAAACTCAAGTATTATAACCATAGTTCTTTATATGCATTTCAACTAAAAGATACAGAAAGTGTCCAGGCAAAGAAAGCAGTTTGTTTTAAATATGCTTGTTATAAACTTAGTAGTCTGTATTATAAATAGAATACATTGAATGAATACATTCATTAGCATTATAATATGTCTAGCGTCATAAAATGTCTTTTGTACCGTTATAAAGTTCTTTGTTGTATAACCGGTAATGTTCTCCATTCTCATATTTTTGTACATTTGTAGGTAATTATGGTCAAGTTTTTATGTATTTAATTGATATACATGTATTTATGCTGACTCAGATGTAAGACAAATTCCCTCACGGGCAATAAGAATTATCTATCTATCTTACATATACATGGAGACCCATGTAATACATACCACCTACATAGTGCCAACATCAGGAAACCCTTAGTATGTTTAGGACATGCACATATTTGAAAATATTGACCATTTCATTCTTCAGAATGAAAATGATATGATTCAAACACATTTAGAAGTTTGAGATAATACTTCAGTTACAATGCAATTAGTATTCTAAATCTCCTTTCCCATGATATTCTGAATTCAAACCTTGTTATAACCTATGTATAGAATTATCCTATTTGTTAAAAGAACATCATTACCTGGTAGAAAACATCCATGGTCAAAGATAAAACATGAATTTGTGTATTGAGATTATTAATAAACACATCATAATCAATATATTGAAGTAAATCCTCAACGAAGACCGGGTTCGATTCCCCACATAATTCATCAAGAATCTGTACATGATATTATAGTAATGAGATCCTGTTGGAACCGAGAGAAAGTAATCAAGCTTTGTCACTCTCAATCAACAGAACACTGTACGCTTGCTATACTCACTGGGGTCATGCACATCACCGTACAATCACCGCAGATCATAAACAGGCCTGGAATTAGGCTTAGTTTGTGTTAATATGGATGAATTACATTAATCAACACGCACCAAACACAGATCCACATTTCAGGATGATCATGGGAATCAACTAATTGGTAGTCAAGTCTTCATTCATTTACACCGTGTGGGTCTGGTTCAACCTCTGACTCTTGCGTGGTATGAAAATTGCGATCAAAATCTAAATTAAAAACATTTGTTAGTGTTATTCCCAATGTGATTACTCTGTGATGACTTGAACTATTGAGAGTGTTGAGTATTGAGATTTCATCAACCTCGTTTGTGTTTCAGGGTTAATGGTATTATTGCTTCAAATGGGGGACTGTCCTGTTTAAAATGCTTCAATCAACCATTGACACACTTTGTATGGAATCTGGAGCTAAGTGAAATATTACCATTGTTTTGCAGAAAACAGATTGAGCTCCCATTAACTCCAAATGGAGGGGACTGTGGAAATGTACCACATAATGTTTCTAGCTTAAATGTGGAAAGCGAGTTTTTATGGTAACAGTCGTGAAAACACATTTAGGTGTGAGTCAGACTATGATGACCCTATTGTCTGTCTGTTGTTCAATGCCACACTCAGCGATATTCCGTCTACATGATGGTTGTCTGTAAATAATGCAGAGCAACAACGTAGACAATTGGAAAATGATGACCAACCAAGTCAGTGAGCCTGACCACCCGAACAAACCCTTAGTCACCTCTTAAGACAAAGAGATCACCATATTGATGTACGTTCACCTCTGTGTATCTGTCCACATCCAAGTATGTCGCTAAATTAAAGTATAATACATACATATCAGAAACCACCAAGCAAAAACTGATATTTCTGACAATGAATGGACGTAATAGGAAGAATCAGCTACCATATAAATACTGTGAAAAGTGACCAGTGAAGGTCCGGGTTAGAACTGATCTTCAATAACCCATGCTTGTCATAAGAGGCGACTAACGGGATCGGGTGGTCAGACTCGCTGACTTGGTTGACACATGTCATCGTATCCCAATTGCGTAGATCGATCCTCATGCTGTTGATCACTGGGTTGTCTGGTCCAGACTCGATTATTTACAGACCGCAGCCATATGGCTGGAATATTGCTGAGTGTGGCGTAAAACTAAACTCACTCACTCACTACTGTGAAAACTGCTACTTACTTTGATTCTTACTACTGTCACATTACAAATTTAATCAATGACATCAGTGGATCAATCATCATGTTTGGGGCTTTAATAATTTTTTTATGAAAGATGCTTCATTCTTATTTTCTGATGCCTTATACATGTGTCCCCAGAATCATCTACATCAGCCAACATCCCCTACAACAGCCGACATCCTCTACAACAGCCAACATCCTCTATTATAGACAACAACAGCCAACATCTGCTACAACAGCCGACATCCTCTACAACAGCCAACATCCTCTATTATAGACAACAACAACAACAGCCAACATCTGCTACATCATACCACGTCCTCTACATCAGACTACATCCAATACATCAGACAACATCCTCAACAACAGCCAACATCCTCTACAACAGCCGACATCCTCTACAACAGCCAACATCCTCTGTAGTAGACAACAACAGCGGCCAACATCTGCTACATCATACCCACGTCCTCTACATCAGACTACATCCAATACATCAGACTACATCCTCAACAACAGCCAACATCCCCTACAACAGCCAACATCCCCTACAACAGCCGACATCCTCTACAACAGCCAACATCCTCAACAACAGCCAACATCTGCTACATCATACCACGTCCTCTACATCAGACTACATCCAATACATCAGACAACATCCTCAACAACAGCCAACATCCTCTACAACAGCCGACATCCTCTACAACAGCCAACATCCTCTATAATAGGCAACAACAACGGCCAACATCTGCTACATCATACCACGTCCTCTACATCAGACTACATCCAATACATCAGACAACATCCTCAACAACAGCCAACATCCCTACAACAGCTGACATCCTCTACAACAGCCAACATCCTCTCTGCAGTAGGCAACAACAACGGCCAACATCTGCTACATCATACCACACGTCCTCTACATCAGACTACATCCAATACATCAGACAACATCCTCAACAACAGCCAACATCCCTACAACAGCTGACATCCTCTACAACAGCCAACATCCTCTGCAGTAGGCAGGCAACAACAACGGCCAACATCTGCTACATCATACCACGTCCTCTACATCAGACTACATCCAATACATCAGACAACATCCTCAACAACAGCCAACATCCCTACAACAGCTGACATCCTCTACAACAGCCAACATCCTCAACAACAGCCAACATCTGCTACATCATACCACGTCCTCTACATCAGACTACATCCAATACATCAGACAACATCCTCAACAACAGCCAACATCCTCTACAACAGCCGACATCCTCTACAACAGCCAACATCCTCTACAACAGCCAACATCCTCAACAACAGCCAACATCTGCTACATCATACCACGTCCTCTACATCAGACTACATCCAATACATCAGACTACATCCTCAACAACAGCCAACATCCCCTACAACAGCTGACATCCTCTACAACAGCTAACATCCCTCTGCAGTAGGTAAACAACAACGGCCAACATCTGCTATATCATACCACGTCCTCTACATCAGACTACATCCAATACATCAGACAACATCCTCAACAACAGCTAACATCCCTACAACAGCTGACATCCTCTACAACAGCCGACATCCTCTACAATAGCCAACATCCTCTGTAGTAGGTAACAACAACGGCCAACATCTGCTACATCATACCACGTCCTCTACATCAGACTACATCCAATACATCAGACAACATCCTCAACAACAGCCAACATCCCCTACAACAGCTGACATCCTCTACAACAGCCAACATCCTCTGTAGTAGGTAAAACAAATAACGGCCAACATCTGCTACATCATACCACGTCCTCTACATCAGACTACATCCAATACATCAGACAACATCCTCAACAACAGCCAACATCCCCTACAACAGCTGACATCCTCTACAACAGCCAACATCCTCTGTAGTAGGCAACAATGCTTGGCCAACATCTGCTACATCATACCACGTCCCCTCTACATCAGACTACATCCAATACATCAGGACAACATCCTCAACAACATAACATCCCTACAACAGCTGACATCCTCTACAACAGCCAACATCCTCTGTAGTAGGTAAAACAATAACGGCCAACATCTGCTACATCATACCACGCCCTCTACATCAGACTACATCCAATACATCAGACAACATCCTCAACAACAGCCAACATCCCCTACAACAGCTGACATCCTCTACAACAGCCAACATCCTCTGTAGTAGGCAACAACAACGGCCAACATCTGCTACATCATATACCACGCCCTTCTACATCAGACTACATCCAATACATCAGGACAACATCCTCAACAACAGCCAACATCCCCTACAACAGCTGACATCCTCTACAACAGCCAACATCCTCTGTAGTAGGCAACAACAACGGCCAACATCTGCTACATCATACCACGTCCTCTACATCAGACTACATCCAATACATCAGACAACATCCTAACAATAGCCAACATCCCTACAACAGCTGACATCCTCTTACAACAGCCAACATCCTCTGCGGTAGGCAACAACAACGGCCAACATCTGCTACATCATACCACGCCCTCTACATCAGACTACATCCAATACATCAGACAACATCCTCAACAACAGCCAACATCCCCTACAACAGCTGACATCCTCTCTACAACAGCCAACATCCTCTGCAGTAGGACTAACAAACAACGGCCAACATCTGCTACATCATACCACGTCCTCTACATCAGACTACATCCAATACATCAGACAACATCCTCAACAACAGCCAACATCCTCTACAACAGCCGACATCCCCTACAACAGCCAACATCCTCTACAACAGCCAACATCCTTCTGCAGTAGGCAAACAACAACGGGTAACATCTGCTACATCATACCACGCCCCTCTACATCAGACTACATCCAATACATCATACTACATCCTCAACAAACAGCCAACATCCCCTACAACAGCTGACATCCTCTACTAACAGCTAGCCAACATCCTCTGGTAGTACAACAACAACGCTAACATCTGTAGGATAGGTAACAACAACGCTAATACATCATACATCGCCCTCTACATCAGACTACATCCAATACATCAGACAACATCCCTAACAACAGCCAACATCCCCTACAACAGCTGACATCCTCTACAACAGCCGACATCCTCTACATCCATCCTCTGTAGTAGGTAAACAACAACGGCCAACATCTGCTACATCATACCACGTCCTACTCTACATCAGACTACATCCAATACATCAGACAACATCCTCAACAACAGCCAACATCCCCTACAACAGCTGACATCCTCTACAACAGCCAACATCCTCTGTAGTAGGTAACAACAACGGCTAACATCTGCTACATCATCATACCACGTCCTCTACATCAGACTACATCCAATACATCAGACAACATCCTCAACAACAGCCAACATCCCCTACAACAGCTGACATCCTCTACAACAGCCAACATCCTCTGTAGTAGGCAACAACAACGGCCAACATCTGCTACATCATACCACGTCCTCTACATCAGACTACATCCAATACATCAGACAACATCCTCAACAACAGCCAACATCCCCTACAACAGCTGACATCCTCTACAACAGCCAACATCCTCAGTGTAGTAGGGCAAATAACGCCAACATCTGCTACATCATACCACGCCCCTCTACATCAGACTACATCCAATACATCAGACAACATCCCTCAACAACAGCCATCCCCTACAACAGCTGACATCCTCTACAACAGCCAACATCCTCTGTAGTAGGTAGGCAACAACAACGGCCAACATCTGCTACATCATACCACGTCCCCTCTACATCAGACTACATCCAATACATCAGACAACATCCCTCAACAACAGCCAACATCCTCTACAACAGCTGACATCCTCTACAACAGCCAACATCCTCTCTACAGGTAGCCAACATCCTTCTAACGGCCAACATCATCATCATACCACATCTGCTACATCATACCACTCCCTCTACATCAGACTACATCCAATACATCAGACAACATCCTCAACAACAGCCAACATCCCCTACAACAGCTGACATCCTCTACAACAGCCAACATCCCTCTGTAGTAGGCAACAACAACGGCCAACATCTGCTACATCATACCACGCCCTCTACATCAGACTACATCCAATACATCAGACAACATCCTCAACAACAGCCAACATCCCCTACAACAGCTGACATCCTCTACAACAGCCGACATCCTCTACAACAGCCAACATCCTCTGTAGTAGGCAACAACAACAAATAGGCCAACATCTGCTACATCATACCACGCCCTCTACATCAGACTACATCCAATACATCAGACAACATCCTCAACAACAGCCAACATCCCTACAACAGCTGACATCCTCTACAACAGCCAACATCCTCTGTAGTAGGTAAACAACAACGGCCAACATCTGCTACATCATACCACGTCCTCTACATCAGACTACATCCAATACATCAGACAACATCCTCAACAACAGCCAACATCCCCTACAACAGCTGACATCCTCTACAACAGCCAACATCCTCTGTAGTAGGCAACAACAACGGCTAACATCTGCTACATCATACCACGCCCCTACATCAGACTACATCCAATACATCAGACAACATCCTCAACAACAGCCAACATCCCCTACAACAGCTGACATCCTCTACAACAGCCAACATCCTCTGTAGTAGGCAACAACAACGGCCAACATCTGCTACATCATACCACGCCCTCTACATCAGACTACATCCAATACATCAGACAACATCCTCAACAACAGCCAACATCCCTCCAAATACAACATCAGATCTGCTACATCATACATCCTCAATCAGAACATCCATACATCAGACAACATCCTCAACAACAGCCAACATCCCCTACAACAGCTGACATCCTCTACAACAGCCAACATCCTCTGTAGTAGGCAAACAAATAACGGCCAACATCTGCTACATCATACCACGCCCAGCTGGACATCCTCTACATCAGACTACATCCAATACATCAGACAACATCCTCAACAACAGCCAACATCCTCTACAACAGCCGACATCCTCTACAACAGCCAACATCCTCTATAATAGGCAACAACAACAGCCAACATCTGCTACATCATACCACGTCCTCTACATCAGACTACATCCAATACATCAGACAACATCACGGCCGGAAGTCACAGCATCACAGATTATCAATAAGTTATCTAACTTTACAATCATGCAATGGTTGGAAACACATTGCTCAGTCTCATTCCCAATGTGATTACTGTGTTGAAGTAAACTATTGAGAGTGTTGAGTATTGAACTTTCATCAACCTTGTTTGATGTGTGTTAATGGTATTATTATTTTTGATGTTTGAAATCAGTGGCACCTTTCAGAGACATTATTGCAGAGACAGGGGACCATCATGCCATACTAACATCTAGTTCACCTTCAGACCATTAACTTGTCTAAACAAAACCAACCCAACAAAATAACAAATTACCACGTTGCTACAGATCAATATCAATTAAAAGAATATGGCATTGCTACTGATCATGATCATTTACTCAGTTCTACTTTAACTTGTTACATAAACACCTGCCTCAAACACAGATCGATTTACAATTATATAAACCAATTTGAGCAATACAAACATTATTACCTCTTCCATTGTGATATCCAGGTGATAATAGTCTTGTATTGTGTTAGCTGCACTTCTAACATGGTAATGACATCTATACATTAGGTGGAAATTCATCATTTGACATAGTAAGATCGTTGTATGATACTGTTCTTTATACCCACAGTCAGACTAGTACATAACTCTCTATATCCCTAGTCAGACTAGTTCATAACTCACTATATCCCTAGTCAGACTAGTTCATAACTCTCTATATCCCTAGTCAGACTAGTACATAACTCTCTATATCCCTAGTCAGACTAGTACATAACTCTCTATATCCCTAGTCAGACTAGTACATAACTCTCTATATCCCTAGTCAGACTAGTACATAACTCTCTATATCCCTAGTCAGACTAGTTCATAACTCTCTATATCCCTAGTCAGACTAGTTCATAACTCTCTATATCCCCACAATCAGACTAGTACATAACTCTTTTATATCCCTAGTCAGACTAGTACATAACTCTTTATATCCCTAGTCAGACTAGTTCATAACTCTCTATATCCCTAGTCAGACTAGTACATAACTCTCTATATCCCTAGTCAGACTAGTACATAACTCTCCATATCCCTAGTCAGACTAGTTCATAACTCTCTATATCCCTAGTCAGACTAGTTCATAACTCTCTATATCCCTAGTCAGACTAGTTCATAACTCTCTATATCCCTAGTCAGACTAGTACATAACTCTCCACATCCCTAGTCAGACTAGTACATAACTCTCTTTATCCCTAGTCAGACTAGTTCATAACTCTCTATATCCCTAGTCAGACTAGTTCATAACTCTCTATATCCCCACAATCAGACTAGTACATAACTCTCTATATCCCTAGTCAGACTAGTTCATAACTCTCTATATCCCTAGTCAGACTAGTTCATAACTCTCTATATCCCTAGTCAGACTAGTACATAACTCTCTATATCCCTAGTCAGACTAGTACATAACTCTCTATATCCCTAGTCAGACTAGTTCATAACTCTCTATATCCCTAGTCAGACTAGTTCATAACTCACTATATCCCTAGTCAGACTAGTTCATAACTCTCTATATCCCTAGTCAGACTAGTACATAACTCTCTATATCCCTAGTCAGACTAGTTCATAACTCTCTATATCCCTAGTCAGACTAGTACATAACTCTCTATATCCCTAGTCAGACTAGTTCATAACTCTCTATATCCCCACAATCAGACTAGTACATAACTCTCTATATCCACAGTCACACTAGTACATAACTCTCTATATCCCCACATTCAGACTAGTACATAACTCTCTATATCCACAGTCACACTAGTACATAACTCTCTATATCCAGTCACACTAGTACATAACTCTCTATATCCCCACAGTGAGACTACTACCTTTATCCCATACACAGACTAGTACCGTACTCGTTACCCACTAGTCATATAGTACCCTACTCAATCTAAACACACTGCATGATCAGACAAGCTATACCTTCACTGTAAAACAGAATGATCCATTGAAATGACAAGACTTTCTTCTTAATCGCTCTTTCCATCTCCTCAGACTTCATTAGCAAAGGTTTAGCAAGATGGCTGGTGCTTGATCATACTTTGACGGAAACCTTGGACTTCTACTGGAGAATTTTAATCCATGGTCTGTCGCTTTCACACCAATCAGACAATGAATCTACTGGACAAGGAATCAGTGTCCCAAGATTCACACTGAGAGGGAACATGTCAAAGAGCATCATTCAAGATCGCTGGATAAAATTATCAATCAAGATAATGGGTTCACTATCATGAAAATACTTGTTGCTTGGAGGATGAAGAAGCTATGTGAGATGTGGTGGAGGTCGAAGATACTTTGGTACAGCTTGCTTGATGCTGATTTACCAAGGATCACAGTCAGGTCAAATCTGTGATTTAAATCCATGACCAGGGTATCCCGGCATTGTCACAGACAAAAGACTGCCTTCAGTGCTATTAGTTCTTATTATCACTTACAAGAATACCAATAAAAGACTTAAAGGATAAGGATATAAATACAAGCAAAGAGGTGGACATCTTCCCTTGCTGGCCTTGGCTTGGCTTAGTATGGCTGTCAAAGAGGATGGAGTAATTGACCTTTAGGAATCCATTGCTAACTAATACATGTTTTGCACTTTTATCATAACTAAAATATCAACCAGCATGACTGCATCGGTTTGACATTTGCTGTGACACAAATTATCTGCATGCATTCAGAGACGTAATGCCAAAGACGTCATATTAGGCAAAAACTGGTCCGCTCTCCTATGTTCATGTGTTCATGTATTTGCCAGTGTTTCAGACAAGTATGTAAAGACCATATGTAATTCATGTTTTCTTGTCACGATTATGATATTTACATCTGGAATGAACAACCACATTCAGATAAACATTCCTTGATTGATGATCAAACCAAAGAGTATCCATTTGGCAACATGTTGCCAGTAGGAGTGAGTGAGTGAGTGAGTATGTGGGTGGGTTGGTTTTGGTTGGGTGAGTGGCTTGGTTGGTTGGTTGGGTGGATGAGTGAGTGCTTTGACCAGTATTTCAGGTATACCACATCATGTCAGCTTTTTGTGTGATGACATCCAGAAGCAGTGCATAGTTTAGCCCCATGAACATGGAAATAGCAAAGACAAACAAATAAAAAATAGCACAACCCAGGATTCAAACCAACGACCAGTGATCAGTGATGCAACTTGGCATAGCAAATGCTACCTTAGATGACTGAACCACTGACACCCCTACAGTTATGCACTGCTTTCTTACATAACAAATACCCTTGAAGGTCCGGGTTAGAATGAACCTTCAGTAACCCATGCTTGTCGTAAGAGGCGACTAACGGAATCGGGTGGTCAGGCTCGCTGGCTTGGTTGACACATGTCATCGGTTCCCACATTGCCCAGGTCGATGCTCATGCTGTTGATCACTGGATTGTCTGGTCCAGACTCAATTATTTACAGACCGCCGCCAAATAGCTGGAATATTGCTGAGTACGGCGTAAAACTAAACTTACTTACTCACTCTTACAAAACAAATCAGTCAAAGACCATGCATCACTGAACATTCTGTCTCCTCATCCAATTACACAATATGGAATATGTAGCATCTGTGCCTCTCAACAAATACATATATTATAATCTTGTTTGGCGTTTCATTCTATCTGGTCAATTATTTGATTATTATTCAATATATGTTGTTGGTCTAATGGCCATGATGCAGACGGCTTATGAAACAACAAAACAATAATCCATAAAACATGTTTTTCAGTTTTACCACAAATACATGAAATCAATTAGTTAATGAAAAGGAAATTAGTATTTAATAATATAAAATGAAACTAAATTGTACAGACATGTAAACTGAGCTTTTATAATGTCTGTTTCTGAAATTTCATGATTAATCTAGCAGCACAATTAAAGCCATTTTTCATATATGTTTCAGGGATATGTTAAGAACCAACAACATTATTTTCATAGCATTAGAGCAGTCATATTTCCATGTACCCGCCCTCACCACACTTGATCAACAATGTATCCAACACAACTCCATATCAATCATAACATGTTACTGTCTCTCTCAACTCTTACAGCTCATATCACAGAACAATCCGGGGCCTAATGATAACATCAAGTCTAAGGGACCGTTCATAATTTATGGCTTGTGTATGTGTGTGTGTGCGCGCGTGCGTGTGTTAGGGGTGGGGTGGGGATGATGATGATGATTTTAAGGAGGGTCACCCATTTTGTTCTGTGGAGGTAGGGGGCATCAATTTTGTACATAAAAATATTTAAAAATTATGCTTAAAAAATATTGGAGGGGGAGTCATTGATTTTGTACATGACATGCAGGGGGGTCACTTACTTTGTACACAAATTTTAGGGGGGTCATTCACATTGTACATGCTTCTCCATAAAAATCATCATCACCACCCCCTGGACATAAATTATGAACAGTCCCTAAGAATGCAGTTATCCTGTTTCAAATCTAAATTAACGGAAAACAGATTGGTTTTCATAAAACATACCCAGTATTGTGGAAAAGTTACAGAATTAATTTTAGTCTGTCTCACTGTCCCTGAAACACATAATTTTCATTTTTGCCTAGCCTTTCTCGAGTGCTAAAGCAATAAACGATGCAAGTCTAGGTTTCCTCAGGTACAGGATCTCTCATCACATTGGGCTCCTTTTCAATTTAAACGCAGTTATTTGTTTCTGGCAAAATGATACATATTCAGAGACTAAGCATTGGTCTTAACCAATCTGGTCAGCTCTACGTCAAACACTGCACTGATTATCGCGATACCCGTGAGCTATGGGACTGAGACCTGCAATCAGATATGCAGTAGGACAGTACAACTGACTGCTGGAATTACATGCTTAGACCACCATCTGAGACACAATGCGCCACTGTTACTGATGATATCATCATGTCATGGTAACCAGCATCATTGGTACATCTCATCAAACTCCACCTCATCCCTCTCAGGGCCACAGTACAGATGACCTGACAGTAAGATCTTGCAGGGCGAATTGAGGAAATTGTTGATGATCCTACAGAAAAAGAACATTGCACTGTGTTTTCGTGTTTGGTTACTAGGTGAGATATACAAACTTCATCTTCATACTTCCTGTGGCAGGTAAAGGACAGTGAGTGAGTGAGTGAGTGAGTTTTATGCCGCACTTAAAACACTTTTAACCTGGATGTTCACAGGTCAAATGGACACAGATGCCTTGAACTGTTTGTATACAAAAACTAAAATACCTCACTCAACATAAATTAAACATTGGAATGGAAATGTAATGATTCATACATAATGAATGAAAATGTAAAAATTCATAATTTTGGACTAACATGTAATAATTCAATTAATTAGTCTCAGTGTAATATCATTTTATTATTGAAAAAAAATGAAAAGAAACAATGTAATATCTATTCAGATTGCATTATTTTTTTATAGATTCACTTATAATCTCTGAAATGAAAATACATGCCAAAAAATAGTTATTAATCTATCTTAATAAAAATATAAAAAGGCACCTAGAGACACTTTATTTTCAAATACTGCAGTAATCAAGACTTGCCAACTATTGTAGACTTGCAGGGCGGTATTGGATACACGTACATTGTTTCAGGGTCTGTGTAGCAGACTGTCACTGTGAAAGTATTTGTTCCAACAAAATTTAAAATGTTGGTTGTAAAAGTGGGTGGGGGTTCTTTATCCTACATGGGGACCATTCCAGTCAGGACACAATTCGACATAATCAGACGACTCCACAACCATCAGTTCCTTATAAGTCTTCTCTCACAACAAACATGGAGTACCAAGATGTTGGCGCCTGGCATTCCTACCCCTTTGCACTCTATCGTTCCTCTACAAAAATGTCATGTTGACAAGAACATCTGCTCTGATGAGGCTATAATTACCATCAAGGGTTCACCTTTCATACAACTTTTAACTTCAGTTCTGAAACAATCTTTCTTGTTGAAAAATGATAAAACTTCACAAGAAAAACCCTTTGATCTTTCCTATTTCGGTAAATTCCAACTGAAATCAATACTTACAGTGATTATCATGGTAGGCAATAGCTTTCATGTTTTCAAGGACATTCAGAAACCATGACAATTGAGATGTATGCAAACTCACTTTTATATGTGACCTTCAAGTTAAATGTTACATCAGTTTGACGTGAACGTGAACGTAAGTATGAGAAAGTGAAGTTGAGGTAGCTACAGCAACTGGATGTGGCATTTATATGTGGTGTTGAATCTTGTATGAATGGCCTAATCGTCTGTTCTCACCTTCCAACGTTGTATGGCACCACAGAGCCTATTTGGTATTTGGCTAATTGATAATTGATCCTGCGCTTCCAAGTTCTACTGCCTAATGTTAAGGACTTGGACTTCTGCCAAGTTCTCATAAAGCTGTGATAGTGCTTTCTCACAGTTGTGTTCATACTTTTTATTAAAAAATATTTTGACAAAATATATAAAAAATATTAAAAATTATATTTCAAATAAAATACATCATCTTTAGCTGAAGACTTATCTGGACAGCTCATGAGCATAGACGAAACCATGTCATGTTACAAAATCACATATGCATGTACATTTCCACCAAAATCTTTATTTCTAAAAATATCCAATTAAATCTTTTTCAGATAAAAGCGGCTTCATTTTAGACTGGCTTTTAGATTATTTAATTTTGCAATATTTTCAAGCAACCCATTTATCACACAAAATTAGCAAAATTGAAAGTTTCACAAATAATAAATTATTAAATGATCAGAATCACATTATTAAGTCGTCTTGACCAGCTCTGGTTGAAAGGACCCCACTGATGGATGTCGCCAGGAGATGTAATAAACGGCTTATACACAAGTCGACTTGGGGATTACAGTCAGCTTGGGTTTACCCTCATCCATGCTTCCGTTAGACACGTCTGAAGCTATCACATACAAACAGACCTCATGTCGGGATAATTCAAGCCTGTCCTATCTGCCAGACGGAATGATAGCGTTGCGGACAAGGCCAGCTCAACATATAGGTGTATTACACAACCTTGCGCTCATCAGTATAACCTCCGCAACCTCAATATGAGGAATCATATTTTCACCATACGTGCCACTAGCTAAACTTACCGATCATGGTTACTCCTTCGTCTGGCGGAAAAAGCGAGGCAAAAGAATTTCCGTAGCAGACGATCAAATAGCACAAGCATGAGTCCACTGTAAGGATGTGTGTGTTTCAATCCGCTCAGTACTTCTGCTATCAGCTGCCATGAGCAGACGAACTCCCATCTGCAAACAGCGCCAATGATTCTAAGCGGGTCGATTATTAAGCGGGGGTGTCAGGTCGGTTCCAGCGTGATTCGCTTTGGCGACTGCAGTAATCTGTTACATTTTTCGCGGGGTTTAATCGATAAATACATCACTCTGTGATTTCTGACTCAACAAGGTGCTATGTGAAACAGTTCGTGTTTTTAAGATGGTTTGAACTTTAGGTCTCTGTTGGGATTTAGATAATGAACTTGTATTACCTTTCCCCGAGAGACTGCAATCCGTGCTCGGTTGCAGGTCATCAATATAAGTTAATGAAACACCTGAGAGTACAAACTATTTCACTCGGCGTCGCTCTAAATAAAAATCACCATGACTTAAGTACACTAATTATAAGGTAAGAAAAAGGTCTCAAAAGGCTACAAATTTCTTAAGGTTACAAGCCCTTCGCTCGTAATTCTAAGACTCTTCTGGTGTCGTTCCTTCCTTAATTGTCTGTTCGTTGTATTGGTTGTTGCAAAAATAGACCTGTGTGCATCATTTCTCTGGTTTCAGTAGAGAGGGGAGGAATGCGCTTCTCGTCGTCTTGAAATAACCATAGTGATGCTTGGGTAGAAACTGTGCCCAATAAACATATTTGTCGTATCAGGGTCCAATTGAGGATTGGTTGGTTAAAAACTATTTCGGGTCTCAGCAGCGTTGGTAATATTAATTCAATGTATGACAGTTTTGCCAGGCACAGATTTGATTACATACGGTCCGAAATAGTGCTGAAGTTATAGCAAAGAGACAGTACAATGCAGTGGATTGTTGAAATGACTAGACTGTATTTAAGATATGTACGCTTGTCACTTAGTATGGTAACTGGGTTCGAGTCTCCACGGGAAAGCATTCGACCACTGTCCCAGTAAATTTCAACAATCCCTTAATAATCAAGCATAATTTGAAAACAATATTGGGGAGAGAGAGAGGGGTGGGGTGGGGGTGGGACAGTGTCAGAGAGAGGAGGAGGGGAGAGAGAGAGGGAGAGGGGTGTTTGTAAACAAAGAGACTCAAACCTTGCAGTGTAATTCCTTAATAAACTAAATGAACATATTTAATGATGAACTCGTATAATGCAGGGACCTTTGTTTTGTTTTGAGACCCAAAAGAAATTTGCAATACCGATGTCCTTTATCATAATCCGTCTACATCCATGGTTGTGGCAAGTATTAACTCATGTATTCTATCACTATTTATTTTTCATACTTTATACAAGAGTTTAAGCGTTGTTTAACATAGAGCTGAGCCCGTACCTCGGTCAGACTTGTTTGGTCATATTGCGCCCCAAACATATGAAATGTATCCAATTTATCTAAGCATCAAGTTGGTTAAACTGTATCCTAGCATAATCCTTGAACCTACATTCTCATCTCCAGTACGCGCCACCACGTTTGTATGCTGATTACAATTTGGCAAATATTTTCATCTTTGCTTAAGCCATCTAAGTACAGACTAAGAAGTACTCTTAGGGCAAACTTTATTTTGGCAGATAATATGAAAGTCCTGCTGTTTAAAAAAACCCCATCTACTCACTTGTAGCCAACCAGGGCATATATGGCTTTTTAATATACTTTATCTTTACTTTTGTTTAAATTGATAATATATTTAGCGAAAGAAGAGATCGAGTTGATTTAACGAACATTTTGTTGTTTGGGTTACTTTTATGACACTTTGGGCACGAGTTACCACCGTCAGGTATATTTGTGTTACAAACAGGTACATTGGTGGAGTACGAAAAAAGCAACCAATGAGCGACGTCGTTTCATTCACGTCTCGTGAGGTGACAGCAAAGGTGTGTTTACGTTGTTGTCTGCAAGGAAAGTAGGGTGTTTCTCGATGTCTTGAATCGTTTTCCTGATCACCCGTGGATTTTACAAACCCAGGTAAGAGTAAAATGTGATCGCAACATCTCCATAGTACTTGACAGTGAATTTGGTAATGTCTTAAAAAACTGTAAATGTACTATGCGATACAAAGCGTTAGATCAAAGTGTAAGGCTTAGCTGCGTTCCTTGTTTCAAGTCTGACAGTGTCCTTCTGTCCGAGTCAACAGATTCTAAGACAAATATTAACCCTCTTGGATCTTTGGAATGTTGTAAATGTTCTAGGGTTGTGTAAATAATGCATGTTATTGTATCACTTTAGAGGGTATAAAACTTGATTTAAAAACACCTAAAAACCTTCAGAGAGCTTTAGTTCTAGTAAAAACTAATGTGTCATCAGGACGCTCTCCCAAAATTGAAGCATTTTGCTAGAGAAATGAGCAGTACCTTTGGGGACAGAAAAATATATACGTCATGTGATAGCTATGGATAACGGCTGCTATGTTTTATTTTTGAGGCAGGAACTGAACGTTTTGCGCATCTATATTTCATCAGTTGCATCTAGTACAAATAAATCTAGTACAGATAAATAAATAACCTCTTTATAAGAACAATAATTTACTGGGTAGCCATTTTATGCTTCTATTATTCATTTAGTTACAATTGAAGTTATAATAATTAATATAATAATGTTCCTTTCTGGAGTATTTTATGTTCCAAACTGAAATCTAGTAAATTATGTGGGCTTGTAGGCAGATACATGTTGTAATTTCAGCTTATAACATTCTGTTACAGTCAGTATTCCAATACTTAAAAAAAGTTTAGTTTGAATTCACGCTAGCATGGCTCAGAAACATTTTCAGACATTAAACTTCAGCCACAGACTGCAAACATTTGTTGAGTAGTCTAGCATAGCTATCTTATAATTTCTTGGCAATGATTTATGCATTCGTGTGTTGGGATTCAAACTATGTATACCTTCTGATTTGACGCTTGTCCATATGGCCAGAGAAAATGACCCCCATTGGCAAACTGACAAGATATTAAGATTGTCATTTATCTTTCCATGGTACAGTTTATGTTTCTAATAGGGGAAAAATTCCCCTAGGGGATCATTTTAACTGAATCACCGGTGTATTTGAGCGAAATGTGTATACAACTGATAGCTATTGCCGGCTTCGTTAAATACCATGTAGAATAACAGGAACGACAATTGAATTATCATGTCTAGTGCTGTTTGATTGCAAGTTTCCTAGACAAATATCTGTTTTCAAAGTTTGGTTTTTCACCTCCGACGACGATACAACATTGTTTTGACTGGGCATAATACACGAAATAGCAGTTACGCTATGCACAAGCAATCACTTGACTCAGACACATGACAACAATGTCAACATTAATTATTGTATTCGTGAATAATTATTCGTATTCGTTACCCAACATTCGTGATATGTATTATTTTTGCCATATAGTGTATTCGTTACAGCTCTAAATACAATGTAAATATACCTAAAAAAGGGGGGCGCTGAAAAAAGTATATTTTTTGTTTAGTTGAAAATGTGGTTGGGGGGCACTTATGAGGACAGGGCGCTTTTTCTTTCTTGATGGAGACACTTGTTTATTGGGATATTTGATGTTTGGTTGTAAACTATCTAAAACATGCGTGTAATATTGCTAAAGATATGTATCCCAGTAAGAATATATATGTAGATTGATTTGTCCTCCAAATGCAATGGTCATTTCAAGTATTCAAGGTGGATAAATATCATACGTGAGGGTCCTCTATTCTACAAGCTAGGTATTTGATTGCTTTATCACCAGGGATGATCCCAGGATGAACATCAGTCTATTTAAGGTTGGTCCTAGCAAAAAGTGCTGGTTAAAAGATGGGATGTTCAGTAAGATAGGGTACTGGATGTTCAGAAATCATAGTGTATCACATTATACATATGAACTTCATACTAGTTCATTGAACGAGAAGATGTCATGGTAGGAGAGAAACGTGTTTGAGTTAAATACGTCAGGTCCAAATACAGTAGTATAACATTCTCTATTTATTACATACCCTTTTTTAAAACACAGACTGTTTTAATCTAACTCTAAACATCACTATTAAAACTTCCGCACAAGAGATTGCATTCCTCTGTCCTACACCACCAATCAAGTGCCAGGTTCTGATCACGAAAATACAAAATGGAATAATATTTGAGACAAAAATAACTACCTAATTTAGTAATTATAGATCACATGGAAAAATGGGAATACCTATGACCTAAATAATGTCTAAATTTAGATGTTTACAGAAGGTTCTGAGTTCTGGCAAACATATGAAAAATTAGATCCTACAACCGTACAGTACAGAAATCGGAGTGCAATATAGAATTCGCCTAAGCTCACAGTATTTCATAGCTGTATTGCTATTATAGAAATGGGTATGCAATAAATTGTGACACACAATCCCACATTGAAATACATATCTTAATATATTGTATAATGCCATAATTTGATTTCATTAGCAACCTAAAACATCACTGCATGAACTGAAGTTTATAATTAGAACAGAACAAGATGCTGGTGAAAAGTTTTACTCAATATTCATTCAATAAATATTGACAAGCAGTCAACTTTTTTTCAGTGTTTGGTTCCTCGAATTTGCTGTTTGTTTTATTTAATTTATTTAAGCAGCAGTGCTTCCACACTTCAGCATTTAGCTTTTGTATTTGAAACAACTGACCACACCGCCAACTTTCAGGCCCAGATGTTGATAGAAATGTAGGACTTGGCATGCACAGAAGGGAGGTAACTGATAATTAAGTTCTTATCATAACAGACATTTGGGAATTACAGAAACATTTCGAAGGTGTTTGGAAAATGTATAACATTAAACAGATGATAAAATCATCCGATATACCTGAAATCACACAATATATTGAGCATTCCTAAATAATATTGTAAATGTAATATTCATCATGGAATGAATGAAACTCAACAAACTGATATACTGATAATACTGCACACTTTTAATGTTCAGACTCCGTGACTTGGTTGATTGTGCATCTTCTGGCCCTGATGGTGTGGATTGTTTCACATTATTCTGATACCATCAATCACTAGATTCTGTGGTCAAGATACCATGGGTTATTAACAGCCTGCTGCTATACAGCTTTTATATCAGTGGAAAGACTACTGTGCATGTAGTCATAAGGAATGTAGCAATGTCAAGGGCAGCTATTATCATGATTATGATAGTTCTTTGACATGCTAAGAAATGCTGTTCATTGCTGATTAGTTTAGAGTGCGTTCTCTCATCATGCTGAAGACCCGAGTTTGATTCCCCACATGGGTACAATGTGTGAAGCCCATTTCTGGTGTCCCCTGCTGTGATTGTGCTGAAATATTACTATGAAAATAAAACCATACTCACTCACTCACTAGTTTTGGAAGTGTGGGAGCCCATGATATTCAGCCATTTCAGCACTGAACACTGAACACTGACATATTCAAACTGATTACAATGACAAGCAAGACATGTCCATCATCAAAAATGTTTGTTTGTCCAAACCTGCTCAATTCAATTTCATAAGAACAAAATCTCTCTTGTGTATATTCTGCTTCTGTGCATGATATAACCAGAAGTTCTTGAGAAATAGTGGAGACAAGCTGTCTACATGGTCCATACAAAAATTACAATCTTGTGACCTCATGACCCTCCCAACAGTAAAACATCTTAATCAAGCTAAAAGCAAGTAGTCATAAATGATGCCCAGGTTCTGAGCAATCTCCGTAACCCTGCCCACAACCATATAATGTCTAGGAGTGCATTTCTCTGTGTCGACATGATTAGAATCATTGAAGTAATCAGTGGTAATTACTGAAAAGTCGTGCTAATACAAATGACACTATTAGATTATTGTTTTTTGTTCAGTCTTTCTTTTTTTGTTGGATGTAATGCTTGTGAGAAGCGAATGTTGCTGTGTGATGCTGGTGATGCTGTTCAAATTACCCTGATTACTCGTGTATGTTGAATACCTGGTCAGTGGTAGGATGAGATTGTAATGTGACTGTTAACCTTTAGCACCTCACAGGAAGCTTGGGTTGTATGCTCCCCAGGGAGATGAGAATGGAAAATTGAGTGTACACTGAGCCATTGCCTGGGCTACTAAGGGACTCCTTTGAACATACACAATTGTAGAGTTCATGGCTATGTATGAAACCTTTTTATCATAGCTACAAAATTGGACATCAAACTGGCTATTCATTGTGTTCATCAAGTCAATAAAAAGAGATTTCCCACTACTTGCTATATTAACATGACTTCAGTCATCAAACATTACATAAATGTGGAGACATGGCCCTGTCAAAATCACAGATTAATTAATTTTTTTAGTGGTATTAGAAGTTGGTGGGAACAAGGGAGACAGTCCTATGGATATACAACTTCTTTATTACAATGTGACGTTGGTGAGATGCTAATACCATTATCAAGCAAGTGATGTACTGTGTGAAGAGCATTTACACACATGAGTACATAAGGAAGAGAGTTTTTATGGATGTAAAATTCTTTATTATGAGGAACATAATCATACTGATAATGTTTCGAAGTATATCCTCACCCCTTCATCAGGTGAATGTGTTCCTTATAATAAAGAAGATGACATCCATAAAAACTGTCCTCCTTATGTATGTCACTTCTAAATGCTATTCAAAGAACATGAGTACAGTTATGTTAATGTACAGGCTGACAATGCTACCGTATATTACCGTAGATAAGCCGAATTTTGAGGACCAAAAAAAGCAGTCTGTAGAAGGTGGTCGGCTTATCTATGGGTTACGCTTTTCGTCAGGGGTAAGAAAACTATTTTCCAGGGGTAAGAAAACAACATCATATCACTTCACGTGAACAAACAACAGAAGACGACTTTGTCAGTAAAGACGTCAAATTTGCAATTAAATATCACTAGACAAGATTATTTACCTTTTAAGTTCTAAGTTGTTTTTGCTGGGCATTGTATTACTTGAAGGGATTAAGATTACCGTGTGTATTTGAGCCGGAAATAGCAA